ATATGAGATGCGAATATGTGAAAATTGCAATCGTTTCTAAATTTATGAACGGTAATGTAATTGTGTGTATATATATTGCAGTATTTTTATTTTTTGACATTTTATACATTTAATATATATCTTTGTTCGTTATATTTTCGGTGAAATTGAATGCTTGCATAAGTCATACTCTATGCTCATGCCCAAAGATAGATCGAAAGCTACGTCTATTAATTCGAATGCTTGCCGCTGAGTTACGCTCTACTTGACAAAGGAATGTGCGATCGTCATTCAGGACAATCTGTCATCATGGCAATTACTGTATACAAACTCACGGTGCTTCGCTGCACCTTTGTCAATTACGATAAGACGATTTTAATTTGAGTTCCTGTATCGCGCGGAATTATCAAAATAAAAATATGATAGTATTTTATTTATATGATTATTTCTCGAGCAGGAAAAATGCAACTAAATATAAGAATTATCGCTTGTGTTACAAAATTTTTATACGAGAAATAATTGCCTATCGGCACCCGTTGATTCGGATCGTATCGAAATCTCGCAACGCTATCCAATTGTCGTGTAAATTTCATGTTCATATCAAGCTACCGTGGCAATTCTCTCGGATTACGAGAGCTAAGAACGTTGTCTCCGCGTTGCGTTACAAATTTCTGCGAATGCAAGTGCATCACAGTGCTCAGCGCCTTTTCGTGCATTCCGTAGCGCAATGTAATGCGCGAAACACCCAGCCTCAACATTATTCACTGTCCAATTTATATATCGTTACTAATTGCTAGTGACAGCTAGAGTACATGATATTTCAACAATGTTATTCTATTAGAAGGTTTTCTTTCATTTTGAAGGTTTTAAGACCCTTCGGAAGATTGAAGGAAGATTTTTGGAAATGGAAGGTTTTATACTAGTGTCAAGTGCGAATTATAACTATTCGGCAAGAAGAAATTATCAGTCTTTACTCGAGTAAAATTTTGGAACGAAGTTTGTCTTTCTGTACTCTAATATAATTGCTTAATTTGTTGACACCTTTGTACGCTATTTTAATAATGTTTGTCTTCTTTAAAAAGTTTTTGATTCTTTCTGAGACACCAGCAATAAAAGGCACTGTGAAGAAAATTTGTTTCTTTTCTACTTCTTTATTAACCGTTTGATTATTCTGAAGACTGTTCCGTTCACAGAATTTTTTATGTAGTCTTTTATTTATGGTGGAGAAAATCAAGTTCAGAGGGTAACCATTGTTCAGTAATATTCTGATAATTTTATCGAAGTTTTTTGTATGGAAAGAAGGATGTGACAACAGTAGAACTCTATCTGTTAAACTATCACTTCAATTTTCTGCCATAGAGGATGTTGAGAAAAATAATTAAGATAGCGTCCAGAAGACGTAAGTTTCTGATACCAGTTACGGGATATAGAGTCATTCTTTTTGATCAAAGTTAAGTCCAAAAAATTAAGCTTGTCACCTCCCTCCTCTAATGTAAATTTAAGACGTGGATGATAGCTATTAAAAGTAAGACAGAGATCGTTAATGTGTGTTTTGTTAATTGCTAATGCAATGTCGTCTACGTAACGTATATAAAATGAAGGCTCTATCGTCAATCTATTAAAAGCAAATATCTCTAAGTCTTGCAAAACTATGTCTGCAATTACTAGAGATAAAGGAGAGCCCATGGGAACTCCAAAGAATTGTCTATAATATTTGTCATTGAATGTAAAAAATGTGGAGTCAAGAATTAATTTAATCGTATTAAAAAACTCTGTCTTAGATAAACATTAGATTAACCTGTATCAAATGCTATCTATTATTGATACCATCCAACACTAAATCCGTTGGAACGTTTGTGAATAGAGAAACCACATCTAACGAAAAAAGAGTATCGTCATTAGAGATTTTTAGTTTATCTAGATTCTTGGCGAGTTGAAAGCTGTTACTAATGAAACCCTTTGTTGGAGGCAAATCTTTTACTACAATTTTGTGCAAAAAGGTTGCCAGGTTATGCAAAGGCCAGGTTATGCAAAGGTTGCTAGGTTATGCCAGGCTATACATATATCTCAATATCGTTATGTCACAAATATTATCCCCCCTTCGAGATCGATTAAACTTTCTTTTTTTGTTAGTTTGGTTCAATTGACGCTAGTGGAAGGTTTTTTTACGACATTGAAGGATTTTTGCATGGAACAACACTGTATTTCAGTGGCAATATCTACTTTACTTTAAATGGGATATCGACGACATTTTTCCTTGAATATCTTAGTTTTTCGGTTTGTGTTTGAAGATTTTTCAATTAGCTTTTAACAAAAGCTGAAGAAAAATGCGCTGAAGAATTTCTGCTCTTTTCCGTACACGTCCTCAGCTCTCTATGTAATGGGAAAGTTCTCCAAATATTTTAAAAATTGGTTATTTTGATTTAGCCATTCTACTCTTCAGTTCTCTGCTGATAGAAAAAAAAGGTTTATCTAGCTTCGAAAATCTGTTTAAGTGCATATTTCTAATGTTCTCTCGGCTATTGGAAAAATATCTTCGATAGATAAAAGACCATGAAAATCTTCCAGATATAAAAAGTTTTTGTTAGGAAATAATATGATTTTCCAAGAACGTGCAACATATAGGTAAGAAAGTTTCTATTTTGATAATAATTATCAATCTTTAATAAAATAATGGCATCTGCGTCTGGATAACCGTCCATCTCCAGTGGAATGCTAGTCGAAAAATGGCAAATGTGTTTCTTATACGAAAATAACAAAAAAAGATCGCATCTATTTGCAGCATAATAAAGAAAAATGATTTCACTCTTCGTTCACCGAGTAACTTATTCAAGCCGATCTTTCATTCTCTGTTCTCCAATTCTCCGACAAACAACCTATTTGCTAAGGGCGAATCTGTTCGCCCCAGCGACATATTGCGCTCACCAAAAATCACATTCCTACCGACCCCTACCGAATTATAGCGTCGGCGGAATTCACATTCCCACACACATACGGTCGTGCACGCACGCGCAGACGTGTGGGGTGTGCGACGACGAGGCTCACGCAACCGGCACGCATGAATGCCTAATGCCTGCGGACAGTGATTTCCACCCTCGACGAGAAAGCGCGCCTCCTACCTCGTCCCGCTTTCGATCCATTCGCCCCGTTCACCCTTTCTGTAGGCAGATGGGGTTCTCACGGCCCCACCTCGCTCTCACCTATAGCCCACGATGTCGCACGTAATCGGTCGCACGATAATGCCCGCTGTCACAACACGCAAACATACGCCCGCGTCGTTCAGATTAAGAAATCAAAGGATTAGCTGTTTGGAATAAACGTTCCGTTTCGTATAGAGATATATTTGATGACTACACGATGTAATATGCGTGGCAGATTCCAGCAACTCTTTTGTGTAACTTTATTGTACGTATTCTGACCGTGACAAGAGGCTTCGTAAACGCGCCTATAACGCGATTATGGTGATAAGTATCTGTTAGTCCACTTGATATAAAACCGTACACGTTCTTAAATCATATTATGTCGCGACAACAAAATTCAAAAGACCCCGGTTGACTATAATGAAGATTTAATATTCATCATTTCGTTCTACTTAACATTATTTCAAATATATTATACATTTCTATTCATCTCTGATAATTATGTTTTCGTCTCTGTATAAAAATTTGATGTTCTCTCTCGATTGTCAGCGACACCAGCGATAATTCGATAAAGCCGATACGAAAATATCCTCGTCGAAAAGAGCGCCCAATAAATTCCGAATGGATAATGTATGCCGCGAAGTCACGACGGTATAATATGTACATACATAAAGAGAGAGGCGGTGCACGCGCGCACGTGTGTGCGTGTGCGTTTCGTTATTACACGCACGATAGGCGTATTGCAAATAAACGTATCGACACATACGTCGTGCTCCACACTCCGCCGCACAACACGGGACTACACCTTGTCACCATCGACGCCGCCCCGCGCGTTCGTTACGCGCGTATATTATTCATCCCGCGTGTCGACTACGTTGAGACGATAATGGCCGGTTGTCGCTCGTCTATCTTTACTGACGTCACTGTTAACAGGTTGGACGAAAATACGTCCCGCCGACTGCCGACAGCCTCATCGTCGTCGTCGTCGTCGCGCTTGTTAACTGCTTCTTCTGCGAGAGGATATTCGCGCAAAATACGAAATAGCCGGAAACGACACACGCCGCGTCGTTAATTAGAAACATTAACAAAATTAATTACATATTTTAGTAGTATCATATACACGAAAAGAACTATTTTGCTGAAATATCTCAAAATTTAGATAGATACAGATCTGGAAATAATTTTGTTGAATCATCAAATAGTTGTACAGGAAATTCAAGCATGACGAGCAATGCTACAAAAGTTTTGACATTATTTTAGCAACTAGCTTGAGCGTTTTACATAACTATTTTGTAGTATATAATTAAATTTTGATAGTATATAATTATACAATAAAATTTATTTTTAGATCTGCCTCTAGCTAAAGTTTTAAATACTTCAGCAAAACGAAAAAATAATTTAAAAATTTAGCTAGATATAAATCTGAAAATAATTTTGTTGGATCATAAAAATAATTATGTAAAACTTAAGCATTGATCAGCAATGCTGCAAAAAATTTTGATATTCGAACAATCTGCTCGATCGTTTTACATAATTATTTTGATAATTCAACAAAATTTATTTTCAAATCTGTATCTATAGCCAAATTTTTAGGTATCTTAGCAAAACTTTTTTCCCACATACGTACATATTATATACTCTTTACATTCTTTTGAGTGGAATCTCACTGTAAAGTGAAAATTGAACCAGACTTGAAAAAGAATAGCTTAATTTTCAATCTTTAAAAGCGAGATTTCAGTATTCAAAGTGACAATTCACTCTAAAAGTTTTAGAGAGTGTGTATGATTTGTATGTGTATATATAATATATATATATATGCATTGCATTTTATCATACAACTAATGGGATTAATATTAATGAATTTTATATTCTGTCTTTCAGGTCAGATAGCGATCGTAAAATGTTAAACCCAGAAACTGGCTGCTACTCCGAATCCGTACGAGCATGGTAAGTAACAATCGATTGTTTTCATTGATCCCGCGACAACGAGATTGTTTCTCCTTGTAATACGTGTCCACTTTTATCTATAGCTATGCTATCACATATCCATGCTCTATTGTAAAGTTAACAAAAATACACTCGGGTTTTTTTTTTGTCGAAACGAAGTTAACGTTGCCCGCTGACGCGCGAACGATCCCCGCGGAGATTTTAACTATTTTAACCGGTGCGGCGTTAAACAGCGGGCGCATTTCCGAAACAATGGACATGAATTTTTGTATAATTCGCCACCATTCATTCAATTTTGTTGAAAAATCTATCACTGCTGTTATTCCATCACGCGAGGTTTCCCTCGCGCGCGTGCATTTTTTCCTCTCCCCCCTCTCTCTCTCTCTTTCTCTCTCTGTCCTCTCCTCCGTCCCCGCACTCGTAAAAGGTAATTTGCCGCGACCGCTGATGTATTTATAACAAAACGAATTAAACTCTGCGCGCTGCGCGAGCAGGTAACAAAACGCGGCCGGCCGACAAAACCCCGGGAATAAAATACGCAAATATTTGCGTGTTTAATTTGAATCTCGCTTTGGGGTCGAGCGCATGACGGCGGCGCAACGGGAGAGTTAATAATGAAATGTCGCATTGTCGTCAGAGGGGGTTGAACTTCCTCCCTCTCTCGCGCTCTCTCTCCCTCGTTCTGGGATGATTTTGTTGAACGCAGCATATTGTCGTCGCGTGCTGTCGCCGTACCTGTATAGGACCGCGAAGGGCCACTGTTCTCTCTTTCTCTGTCCTTCGGTCGACTTCCTTTTTTTTCCCCTTTTCTCACCCACCCGTAACGCTATTCTCTCGCCTCCGCTTTAATTTATGACGGCCTCTACAAATTCACCTCCGAATCGCGCGGATAATCCGGTGGTGTCGCGACCTGTACATCGTACGCGAGACACTGCGAAAAGTGCTGCGTGCTTAATCCTTTTCTGCAAGCTGAATTCATTCTTTCTGAGGGGCACAAGTGTGTTTAAGTCGTCGAGAATGCCGCGACCCTCGAGAATGACGCGTGACGAAATGCTTTTTGTGCGTGGGGGATGAGGCACCTCACACTCTCGAAATAAAACGAAGTGGCTCAATTTTCAGTGATATTTGATGATGCATTTAACTTTCCCTTTACAACATTGCACTACATGCAACTCTGATCCAAGACGTTTTCCAAATTCAGTTTGAAGCAACAATTATCATCAACCTTCTCGCATAAAACAGAAACTGTCAACGAAGAGATATTGGTACATTCGGTTAGAAGCGATTTATCTGCAATTGTGATGGTTTTTCTCAGGACATTAGGGACGCGATCACGACCGGCGGAGGATTGTACGGTGGAGGGACGGGGACGTACCTTAATGCGATTAAGGTCGTTATCAGATGTCGCTTCCACTTCTTGCGCGATGACGTCGGCGGTGCTCGTTTGTCATCGCACCGACGTCGTCACGGGGGTTGCATGATTTACTTCCGCCTTTCCCCTTTTCGCGCCCTTCGTTTCCCGCCGTCGATTTCTTCGTCACGATTCGAGCGTGCGACGTGCGTCCGCGTAAGATGAATGTATTTCTGTGACAAACATACAAACGCACGTACACCAGACAATCTCCAGCGATTAATTCAAGCGTCACGTATCTTGTCAGCCATCATTGATTCGCATTATAAATCATTTAATATCATAATTACCATAAAAATTGTTTACACACATTTTGAATTGAAAAAGTAATTTATGTTCTCACAGTTGTCAGTAAATTCGATAATGATTTTAAAGCAGATTTCTATCCACACGTAACAAGGTAACGTTTTAACAACATCTTAATTGATGTTAAAACGTTACAATAAGATATCATTTGATGTCGCCTTGCTATTTGGTTTGTATCCACTGTGATCTTTTTAAGCTTTTGGTTTTTGCAATTACGAGACTTGCAGTCATATAATAACAGAAATACAGTAGGAATGGAGCATAATGCAGAGTTAACGTTTTTTTGATACATTTCTACCGATATTAGAAAACCAGCAGACAATGCTCGACTGTTCCTGGAGTTTTATTAGCATAATATGCAATACACGGTTTGTAACACATGCTCTTGACAATTTGATCTGTGGCTATCTGGTCATCTGTGCCCCGATAATGCCTTACTTTCGTGACTATTTGTAACCCATGAGTAATTCATAATACGTACGAATCGTCAAAAGGACCGCGAATATTAAAATCAATTGCTTTAAAGATAATATGCCTCCTATTTGAGGTTTACCCAACTCGCGTGTTCGTTCGTCATCGAGAGCGTTCCGTGAGCGAGCGGGTTAAATGTACTTCGAATTAGTTCACGACTGACACCAGCGGATTCGTGAAGGAAAGGGGAAATAATGATAGCGCCTAGAGAATATATTCTCAAATCGTAGTGCGCGCCGAGAGCTCGCGTGTCGCACGCAGGTCTCAGCCATATACACGTCAGAGGGAGCATCCGAGGATTCGTTAAGGCCAGCCGTTAACGCCTTTCGCCACGACCCACCATGGCCTAAGGCCGATTTAGTGTCGCATTAGCGGCGAAAGCGAGGAAAAATTGTTGCTCCAGAACGACGAGGAAACGTAGCCTGTCGGGCAGTAAAAAAAAAGGACAGGAAAAAATGTGGCGAAGGGCTGGAGGGAACTTCGTCGTAGAACTTCGTCATAGAACACAAGACGAGAGGAAGAAAAATAGTCTTTGCGAAGAAGACAGACTTCGTGGACATTGAAGGCGAGGGTGTGGCCAGGAGATAGGAATGATTAGAAGCTACACCCCCGCATGAAGGGCACAAACAGCCTTGGGGGCGCAGCCGGAAAATTCATGGAGTTACTTAGCAGTCTCCACACCGTCGCCCGTTTATTTTAGGGGCGAAGGCACGAAGGAAGTCGTTACGTCGTCGTCGAGAGGTCGCCCTGGGGTGGAGACGGTAATCCTAATTAATAATTAATTATGTCGGGAGACCGTCTCTCACCCTATTCGACCGAAGAATAATGCTCGATCGGATTCTTCCTGTCGGCAGCGCGATTTGGCGATACGGTTCACCGACTATTTCCGTAGATTTATGACATTGGGCTTCGCCATAAATCTGATTAACGTCTTACATTAGCTGCGTTTTCCCTTTGTTAGGGAAAGCATCAGAGCGTTAAAGTCCGCTAATTAATACATATTATTCTCTCATCGTGCACTTAATGATAGCGATATATATCTCATATGATTTTCAACGTGTATTTGCTGGTAGAATCGTGAATTAATTATCTATTTATTAATTATTGTGATTAACTTTTTTTACGATACATATATAATAACCTCCTTTTCTTTTAACAAGGTATTTATTTCTTTAGTATGGAAATGATATCGTAGATCGCGCGAACATGTTGAACATAAAGTTAACGAAGCGTTTCGATACGTTTGTCAAATCCTTGAGAAGGCACTTTCGCTTTATCGCACGCTAATATTTAGAATGCAAGTTATCCCTCGCAAGCGTATGTATCTCTCGCCACGCGGAAGCGATCATCGGCAGTAAATTCTCCCGTGAATGGAAAGCCACATAGCGTTGGACGTTCGGTAGCGACCGAAATAAATAACCATCCGGAGCTTCCTGGAGTCCAGAAGTACGGTGCTTTTTCCCGTCGTCCACGAAAAAGTCAATGCTGGACTGCCGGGAAAAGTCGACCAAGTTTTACGAGGGCCGCTCGAAGAAAGAGGAAGAGCGAGAGGAAACGAGGAGGGAAAAATCGGAGAAAAAGACTCTGGGACTCGTTTCGGCTGGACGCTGGAGAGAGAGATCTCTCCCATATACACGCCTAAAAGTTGTTCATGTGTGTTACATACTCATGTCTGACTCTCCTAGAAGCACTCCCCGTTTGTCAAAGGCGACCCTTCTACCGCTTACAAGACAGCAAATTTGTCTCAGATAAGCAAAACAAACATATAGCGGTTGACCGCGCCATCGCCTTCGCCCTTGTATCACTCGTTTTACATCTTTTTCGCCTGAATACAAGAAACTAAGATTGTTTTTATTGAACATTAATTTGCGAAATATGTGAATTTTATAACAGTATAAATTGTTTGTTGGAACATTATACTTGGTATGGTTTATTTATTGGAATGTTAATTTGGAAAAAAGTTTAATCAAAAGTTTCAGGATCTATCCGCAGACAAATTTGCATAATTGCATGATGGTGTACACAAAAAAAATTATTTAATCAGATTTGACGTCCGTCGTTATAATATAAATGTGGGTGAATTTCTTGATACAAATGATTGTGCAGCTATGCAAGTTGCGTTCGGATCTTTATATTTGCATAGCTGCATAATCACATGCATAAAGAAAATTATCCAATTGCATTTATTCTATCATAAAAACGTACGTAAAATTAGATTGAATAATTTTCTTTATGCATATGATTATATATGTAAGTTTGTCTAGATAGACCTGCTTCTCTGCTTTTTAATATTCTGTAATATGATTATTCATATATATTTTTAAGGAAAATTGCAAAATATCAAAGAGAATCAATTAAATATAAATTAAAGAGAAAGAAATAAATAGCTTCTATCTTAAAGGTAAAAATTGGGTTTCAAATTTATTCTAAAATGCATCCCCATTATTGTGATCATAATTTTTCGGACACCCTGTATAAAGGGCCGTAGCTATTAACGATGCATCCTGTCCATGGTCACCGAGTTATGAATCGATTCCGCGAATGCCGTGTTTCGGCTACTTTCTCGCATTTCGACCGCACTAGGGATTTGCATATATTAGAGTTTATCCTTCTGAGAACGTTCGTCTTCGAGATGCACGCGCATTTACGAATGCTCGCTCTGAATTTTGAACAAAATTTTCGTAGCAACCTCATTATGGTTATTTGTGCTCGTTTAAACACTGCCCGCGGCGCACCGAATTGTTGCAAAAAAATTACCTTCTTTGCTCCGCTGACACATTGTAGCAGTGCTGACCAATTTTAAGGACCTGAA